GATCATGGAGCCCAAGAAGGTAAAATCTGTTACTGCCTCCATATCTTCCCCTTCTATTTGACAGGAGGTGATGGGACCAGTGGCCATGATCTTAGTGTTTTTGATGTTGGGCTTCAGACCATTTCTTATGCTCTCCTCTTTTACCCTCATCCTCTTCTATATGACACTGGTTTGACTTAGTCTAGAATACTCTGTCTGATTTTGGACACAGCTCTTCAAGAAAAATGCCAACAAAATTAGAACAAGTTTATAGGAGGGTGACAAGGGTGATGAGGGGGCTGGAAACCAAGCCTGATGAGGAAAGGCTGAAAGAACTGGGCCCGTTGAGCGAGAAAAGATGACAAAGGGGAGATAGGAAAGGACTCTTCAAATACTTGAAAGGTAGTGCTACAGAGGAAGGGCAGGATCTGTTCTCAATCACCCCAGAGTGCAGGACACTTAATAATGGGCCCAAGTGGCAGGGAGCCAGATTTAGGCTAAGTATCAGGGGGAAATTCTGTGGTACATAGAAATATCAAAGGAAGGCCAAAGGCAGGCAGGATCCTTACCCAGAGACATCACATGCCCACAATTCTCCAGCAGGACTTTCTCGTAGGGAGTCCTCTGGTCTGGATCCAGGAGATCTCGCTCTGCTCAGAAGACAGGGCCACTTCTGCAAAGGAAAGTGGGCGCTAAAAGGAAGAAAACAGGCAACAGGCCATGCACTTTGGAAAAAAACACACTCAAAAGTTAAAGCACTCTTTCCTAGTCAAGTAATGCAAAACATTAAGGCATGTTGTCTTTATTCATTAGTGAATGAATGAATGAATGAATGGCCCCTTTTCCACTAACAGGAACACCACAAACAAGACATCTGACTCTCCTTCCTCTTGGGAATGTCACAGAACAGAGTAGTGGGCTGGATCAGGGCTCTTGGAAAGATACTCTGAGGATGTGCAGAGCGCCCTCCCACAAGAGAGGGGACTGATCCAAAGCAGCCCCCCCCCAAAAAAAAACACATGGCTGAAAAAGACCCAACAGTCCTTTAGTGCATGAGCTTCATTCAGCATAATTTTTTTTTGGGGGGGAGGCAGTTGGGCCCCCCTTACTCGGAAGCAAGGAGCGCAGCTTCAAAACAATCATGCTCTTCCATGCTTTTGAAGAAGGTGGGCCAGGGAAGCTTCAGCTGAACCCAATGTTGCCAGTCTTTAAGGTTACACAGGACTCTTTGTTGATGTTGTTGCAAGGGACTGGCTCTCCCCCCTCCCCTTGGAAAAAACCTCATGCCTTTTTTCCTTCTGACCACAAACACTCATTAAGAGGCAGAAAGATCTATCTGTGCAGCAGCATCAATGTCAGAAGGTCTTCAGGACCTCTTGGAAGAAAAATAAGACACCCCCCCCCCACTCAGAGAGGGCGAAAGAAAGGGCCACACTCTCTCTTCTGTGCTTCTCAGATGGTTCTCCTCAGTTCCTCAGTGAGGAAGAGAATCCCGCTGCAGGATCGTGGCCGGGTTTGCTTGGATTAAGGGTTTGACCTCAGTGGTTTCAGAAATAGTGATCCAGAAAGACCAAAGTGGGCTTGGGAGAGATGGTGGCCAGACTGTCAAAACATGGGGGGGCATTAAAAAGTAGACTCCCCCCCCAATATCTCAAACCTGCCATCTCAAACCTCCATATAAATCCTGAATCCACACCTTTCTCTCTGCCTCTCAAATACGAACATCATACAATATTCTCTTCTTCCCATAATGCAATGAAACACCAGATCGTGAAGAAGTGATTTTTGAAGGCCACAAATCATCGCCACACATTCTGAAGGATTCTGGGACTTGCACTGAGGACACAGTCACAGACTGGGACTCGGGCAATCTGGGTTCAAATCCCGGAGGAGTGAGTTCCATGGGAAACCACTTCTTCGAAACTATCTCGAATAATGGGGTCCCTGTTAAGTCAGAACGGGCCTTGAGAGCAGATTAGGAGGGGAGAAGTCCAACAGTCCCTCTTTGCCTGTGCTGTTGAAAAGCTCCTTCTCGGGGAAACTGAGGTCTCCCCTACCCATCTGTTGCAAAAGAGGTGGCGTCAGGGGTGGGTGGGTGTCTCTTCCTTCCTCCAGGGGCGAGATCGTGGCCCCTAGACCTCCACCACAGCAGGAAACCGAGAGAAAGACCCGCCTTGCAAGGGGCTTAGAGGATACAAGAAGGTCAGGGTCTTTTTTAAAAAGGGGGGACCGTTTGCTATCTCTGGGAAGGGGGTGAAGGGATGGGCTTTCTCCCAAGGATCCACCTTGAGACGTCGGGAGGAGGAAGGAAACGTGGAGGGGGGGTTGGTTCGCCTTTCCCCTCTCCTTTTACACCCCACTGATGGAAGCTGGATTAAAGGGAGGGAGGGGAAGAAAAGCCAAATCCCCCTCCATCAGATGCTCCTGCCTTGCATGGCCGGTGATATTGAGGGGCGTGTGTGTCCCATGGGATCTTGGCC